TTCGCTCCATTTTGCAGCCCTGGGGCCCTCTGGGCCTCGTGAGGGGTGCCCTGGAGGGTGGGGGCATCTTCTGACATCCTGGGGGCACCTTGGGCCCAGGACACTTCTCGCATAACACGAGCGGCGAACATGTCCGTGTCCGCGCCCTCGCGGTCTGGATTCTGGAGCGCGACCCCGCGGTCGCACGGCGACGCTCCGCGCGGGGCATCCGAGAAGAAGACGCCGTGTACCCGCGGGGTCGCGGCCCAGGGGCCTGGCCCGCGAGGCCGCGGATGCGGATGCGTTTTCGCCCACGACAGCAGTGCCAGCCGCCGGGCCACATGCGCCCTTTGGGGCCTGCTCCCCAGCCACCCCCCTTCCCCGGCGCAGCACCGGCAGAGGCAGCAGCGAGGTCTCTTCTTCATCCCCTCCCCGCGCCGTCGTACTTTTTCGGAGGATGGCTAATGGAGACCACGGCAGCTCTCCCGCCAGTCCCACGTCCGCTCCAAATCGGTCCCCGGACCCCTCCCAGGGTCCGTCCCGATCCGTTTGTCGAGGGGGATCCGGCTGGGCGACAGGAGCAGGAGCAGGAGCAGGAGCAGGAGCAGCAGCCGGAGCAGGAGCAGGAGCAGGAGCAGGAGGAGGAGGAGGAGGAGGAGGAGGAGGAGGAGGAGGAGGAGGAGGAGAGGAGGAGCAGGAGGAGGAGGGGAGGAGGAGGAGGAGGAGGAGGAGGAGGAGGAGGAGGAGGATGGGGGAGGACGAGGATGGGGGGAGGAGGAGGAGGAGGAGGAGGAGGAGGAGGAGGAGGAGGAGGAGGAGGAGGAGGAGGAGGAGGAGGAGGAGGAAGGAGGAGGAGGAGGAGGAGGAGGAGGAGGAGGAGGGGGAGGAGGGGAGGGGGAGGGGGAGGGGAGGGTGAGAGGGGAGGGGGAGGGGAGGGGGAGGGGGAGGGGGAGGGGGAGGGGAGGGGGAGGAGGAGGAGGGAGGAGGGAGGGAGGAGGAGGAGGAGGAGGAGGAGGAGGAGGAGGGAGGAGGAGGAGGAGGAGCAGGAGGAGGAGCAGAAGGAGGAGCAGGAGGAGCAGGAGGAGCAGGAGGAGCAGGAGGAGGAGGAGGAGGAGGAGGAGGAGGAGGAGGCTCCAGATCCTTCAGGAGGCCCCGAGAGGACGAAGCATACCAGGGATGGCCGCCGTGCTCGCGGCTGGCCCTTCTCCGAGTTCCCGCTCCGTTGGTGCCCTCTGTTGCTGTCCCCCGCGCGGAGCGCAGCGGAGGGCGGCTTTCTCTCTCGATCATCGCCCGCGGTTTCGCAGTGCTCGCGAGACGTATTTGGGGCTCGGGAGGAAGGGTGGGTAAGGGGGGGCCGATGGTGGTGGTGGTCGTGGTGGTAGTGGTGGTCGTGGTGGAGGTGCTGATGATGATAAGCATGATGGTGATGGTGATGGTGATGGTGGTGGTGGTGGTGATGATGATGACGATGATGACGATGACGATGACGATGACGATGACGATGATGATGATGATGATGATGATGATGATGATGATGATGATGGTGGTGATGATGATGATGATGATTGATGATGATGATGATGATGAATCTGATGAATCTGATGATCATGATAATGATGATGATGCTGATGGTGATGATTATGATGATGATGCGGATGATGATACTGTTGATGATGCTGTGGCTGCTGCTGATGCTGCTGCTGATGATAATGATGGTGATATTAATGGTGGTGTCATGGTGACTGTGCTGGTGATGGTGGTGGCGATGGTGATGATTTTGGTGATGCTGATGATGATGCTGATGATGTTGATGATTATGATGATGATGATGATGATGATGATGATGATGATGGTGATGATAAGGGTGATGCTGCTGATGATGATGCTAACTATTGTGATGACGATGATGATGCTGATGATGATGATGATGATGATGATGATGATGATGATGATGATGATGATGATGACGTTGGTGCCGGTGATGACGACGGTGCTGCTGATGATGGTGCTGTTATTAATGAACATGATGCTGCTGCTGCTGATGATGATGATGAGGATGATGATGCTGCTGCTGCTGATGATCATGATGGCAAGGATGATGATGTGATGACGATGCTGATGATGCTGATGATGCATATTATGCTGATGCTGATGCTGATGCTGATAATGATCAAGCTGATGATGCTGATGCTGATGATGACGATGATGATGATGATGCTGCTGATGCTGATGATGGTAATGGTGATTGTGATGGCGATTGCGCTTGTGATAGTGACGGCGATGGTGATGAGTATGTTGCTGATGGTGATGCTGATTATGATGATAATAAGGATGAAGATGATGCTGACGATGATAATGCTGACAATTGTGATGATGATGATGATGATGGTGATGATGACAATGATAATTATGATGATGATGATGATGATGATGATGATGATGATGATGATGATGATGATGATGATGATGATGATGATGATGATGAAGAAGAAGAAGAAGAAGAAGAATAAGAAGAAGAAGAAGATGATGATGATGATTATGATGATGATGATGGTCATGATGACGATGATGGTGATGAGTTCGCTGATGACGATGCTGATGCTGATGCTGCTGATGATGGTGGTGATGATGTGGATGATGATGATGCTGATGATGATGATGATGATGATGATGATGACGATGACGATGACGATGATGATGACGATGATGATGATGATGATGATGATGATGATGATGATGATGATGATGATGATGATGATGATGATGAATACGACGACGAAATACGATGATGATGAGGATGATGATGGTGTTGTTTGAGAAGCCATACTCGTCTAGGAAGGATTCCATGAGTGCCAACGTGTTCCGAAATTGGTATCGATTTGGTTTTAGAGTGGCTTCTGCTTTCGCAGGAATATCGACTCGCACTCTTGGGTAGGAAATCGTATCATTGAAACATTGCGAGCAGTATTCACGATCAGAAGGAAACAGGGTAGTAACATGGGGCAGTACTGTCGTCATTATCGGCGATCGGAATGCCGATCAGCTGCCCGACCTGGGGGGCGATCCTTTTGCAGACCTCCTTGACCGTGAAGATCACCACCCTGCCGAACGAAACCGTTTACGGTCTTTGGTTGACCGTTTCGCTTTGCAGATCGAATTCCCGCAGAAGGTGGTCTCGGTGCCTGGAGGCCCGTTCGCAGAGCAGTGCATCTTGTCGCCAATCACCCGGATACCAGTTGGAGATCAAGCTCTAACTACTGTTCCGAGCTGCCTCGACTAGGGCCGTCACGACGTCGACCATGTGTTGGAAAGGGGCCCAAGCTGATCACGCCATTGTTACTTGCGAACCTGCTTGCCGAGGGGCGCTCCGGCGTGGGCACAAGTCATCTTGTCCACGAAATTATGTGGATGAGGACGCGTCCACGAGTCTCAGAGCAGGTGGCAGGATGCGAACATTTTCGATGCCTGTACTCGCAGATCGCGGGCTCACGGGACGGGCGTCGACGGCGTGAGTTGCAGAGAGAAGCGTGGCAGCACCGCAAAGTTTGATGCAGCTCCTGGCGTCGGCGAGAGCTGGCAGAATCGGTTGGTCGAGGAAAGGTCTTCCACAAGGCGAAAAAGCTACTCAGGCTGAAAGAGGTCGTGCTTCAAACCCCTGCTGGCCAGCAGCGCGCGTGGGGTTCTGATCTGGCCGCGTCGGAAAAATCGCTCGGCAGCCATTTCTCCATCAAGTGGGGCGCGAAGGAACTCCAGCAAAGGGTCCACCTGTTTGACGCCATCCTGCCATTCGAAGGCTCCGTTGCGCCCATGGTGAAACTCAAGCAGAAAGGGAAGTTTGATTATTACGGCTTCTCCGTTGCAGCGATCTCGATGGCGTTCCGAGCCCAGCCTGATGCAGTCACCAGTCTTTAGTCCATGTCGGTGGGCAGCGCGCCGCCCATGACGCAGCTCGAAGTGAAAGGGCTGGTGCTTGGGACGGTGTCGGCGGTTGCCGAGGTCGAAGAGACACGTGCCGTACTCCCACTGCCAGCAGTCATGCAGGACATGGATTCCGTTTTGCTTCTGGCCTGCCAGGGCTGGGCTGACGAGGCGTTGCCAGAGGTGCTGGATTGCTGTTTCGGGGCTCTCACACACGTGTAGTGTTCGGACAGTGCCCGTGGTCTGCAGTCCGTGATCGAGAAGGACATTGACAACTTTGGCCGGTCCGCGATCGCCCAGGCCGACATCGAGAGGTACTACGACTCGCTCCCGTCCCTCCGCATCGCCCGGTGGCTGGGGGCGCGCGGCGTTCCAATGGAGATGGCTGTTTGTCTCCTCCGCCATCAAATGCTGCCCGAGGTGATGCTGTGCGCCGGGTCGGCAGAAGCAATTGTGACAGGACGGTGCGAGGGAGGTCTGACTGGGAGCCGCGTGTCAGGGCTATTTGGGCGCATTCCAGTCGAGTCCACGATGGTCGAGCGGCGCTTGGCGTGGCGCGCAATTGTTTTCCGGGCAGATGACCACGTGATGTGCGTGTGCTCACGTGTGGACAACTTGTTCGGTGCTCCAGGGAGCCTGCGTGGAGCGACCGGCATCCTTGAGGACTTCGAGAAGCAGCTGAAACAAAACTGGGCCTCCACTTCGAGCTTCCTCCCAGTCGTGCATTGCCGCGGTGGGGGCCGGCCTGAGGAGTTGCCCGAGAAGTGGCCGCGGGTCCAAGAGGTCGCCACCCTGGGCCACGCGTTGCAGGACACTGGATCCATCCAGGCGTGTTGGCGGAGCGCCCGCGCTGCCATGTGGCGAGTTTTCGGGGCCAGTCAGGGGCCCGCAGCCGCGCGCGGGCTTTCGATGCGTCGGCGCCTCCGATTCTTGAACTTGGTAGTTTTGCTGCAGATGGACTTCCGATCGTCCCGATGGCCTCCGCGGCGTCGCGTAGCTGATTGGGCTGACATTTCTGCGGCGCCGGATAGTTGCCGCCATCGCGCGGGCGCCGCCCTGCCCCGGTGGGGGGCCGACGTATTATTTCAGGGGGCGTGGCCGCGCCGCCGCTGCAGAGTGCAGCGGGCAGGGCGCCTGGTCCCCGAGATGGTTCTGGAGGGCACTTCATTGGCAGGGACATCTTGACCGGCCCAGGAATGGCCAGAGCTGGGCGGCAAATTTGTGAGGGTATCGGGGCGGGGGGCGGTTCGCGCGGCGTCGGGCTCCCCTACTCCCGTCGGGCGGCAGCAGTTCCGCGGGGGCATCGTGTCTTGCTGGCCGCGCGGACGCGCGCGCTTGCCGTGGAATGGTGCAGGCGAGGTGGCGCGCGGCGTTCTGCTCGCGCGGCGCCTTTGAGCGGCGTTGGGCTCGCCCGTGGTGGCCGCTTCTTTGTGATGTGCGTGATTGAGATGATCAGTCATTTTTGCATTGTAGTCATTTGGGTGCTAGCAGCTCGCAGTTTGGCATGTTCAGTACTCGGGCAGCTGTCCGCCCCATGCCAATGCAGGGTTCAGGGTGGTAGCGCTGCTGAACAGAAGGTTGCGAACAAGAGAAGTGAGTGCTATTAACAGGCTGGAACAGTTAGCAGGAGAAGCGACCAAACCCATTTAGAACATCGGCATCGGCAGTGGCACTAAGCAAAAATAGTGGGCGAGAGTCATGATTCATATTGGTGATCCAGAGTCCTGAGCAACGGTGCAGTTAACCGACGCCCATGGTGATGAGCAAGGGCAGTAGGCAAGAGTAGCGAGTAAGAGTGGGGGTGGGGTTGGGTTGGTGGGAGGCGGAGTGCCGACTGCGAGTGGCGATCGACGGTTGCATTTGCAAGCCTGCCCGGCATCGGAATCCCGCTGCCCCCGCCACCGCGCCACTCGGCGCCGAGCAATTTGGGTATTCTTCAAGCGGATTTTTTTGGACAACGAGTTGTTCGCGTGAATGGATTTCGCGGGCGCGTGGGCCGATGTGGCTATTCCCGGCCCCGCGAGTCAAGCGCCAGATGGGTTCCGCCAAATGTGCGCAGCTGGCCAGAATCATGACGTGGGCGCAGGTGTGCGCGATTGGGCAGGCGACGCAGTCGCTCTTGGGGGCAGCGCTGCACCGGCCCCCGACGCCAGGGCAATATCCAGGAAATTGTTCGCTACGGCGCAACGGCCCTTCGAGGCCGCCGTGTCTCGATGTTGTCTCGACTTCCGCTTCCAGCGTTGTTACCGATCTAATGTCCGACGCTTGAGTCGGCGCGGGGCGGCCTACCGTCGTTTGCGCCGCCAGTTGCTGGCGAACGTGATGGCGATCGATCTCGGCCACTCGAAGATGGGCCTGGTGAGGGTCATGATGGTGGAAGGCTTGCAGCTGCAGCGCCCCCGACTGAGGCGGAGCG